CGCTTTTTGGACCGTTGGGAGGGTACCTGATGAGGTTTCTCGGGGGCCCAGCATGAACGGCGCATCAGGAGTAGCGGTTACGACAAAAGTGGTTTCAAGCATAGCATGGCGCTAAGGCAAGATCGGCGCAGCAAGAGGAACAAAAGTTTGAAGAGTCGTTTGGCTCACATAGAGGTATTCCACATTTATCAGTGACCAATTCCCCATTTTGTTCCAGCTGGTTCGTCTTTTCTGCTACTGTCTACCACCATCTATGCGGATACATGTTCCAAATTCTCACCCGGCAGTTTACGCCTATCTCTCTCACAGTACGCCCGTCAACGTCGCTAGAGGGTGTACTCAACATCACAGTACCTAGTCCCAGGACACTACCACCACGTTAGCCAACCAATCTCGCATCCCCATCCTTCTCTAACCCAACTCACCGTATCATGAAACGCACAAGCCCACAGCTTACACTGCTGCATCTGTAGCTGTCGCGTCAAACCCATCTTGGTCTGTCAAACCGTTAGCTCGAATCCAGCAATCAATCCTTTTCTCTCCGTTTCTCGTTTTCTAGATTTCTCTGGTTTCAGTCGCGGATACGTACCTTCATGCAATACTCAATCTCCTCGTCACAAACGCCGGATCCGGGGATCTCGGATAGCAGGGTTGCGGGTTTGGGGATCCATCGGTAGGTTGTAGTGCGGGGGTTTGTGGTTGGTGTCGCGGCGGAGGCGAGGGGGGCTAGGAAGAGGGTAAGAATAGGTAGGAGGATGGAGTGCATGTTTGAGCGGTGGTTGTTGTAGTTGCCTGGTTCGTGTGTTGGGAGAGGAATGCGTGGTAACTGAGTGTTGGGTAAAAGAGGTGGGTGAGAGTGTTGATCAGTCGCGTCGGCGTTGTGAAAGATCTTATGACATTGGGTTGAGGAGTGAATAGGAAGAGAGGACTATATCGACTTGGAGTGTCACCGGCTTGCAAGCTTATGATTCAGCTGGTAAACCATTCATTTTGGTAGAGGACTACAGGTGATTATACATAGGGTTACCCGAGGTCAGAATGTTCGCCATATCGGAGACATGTTGACATCCCTCTTAGGCCGTGCGTAGTTTCCACCACACATCAATCCCATCACCAAGTGCCTTCGTTATACTCAAGCCGACATGGTACTCCATCCCACTCTCTCATGACTACTAGTCAAAATTGTCAGGCACCGGCGACCCATGGAGGAGAGTGCGCAAATCAGGTTGTAGCACCTCGCCGGGTCCGAGTTTGTAAGTGCAGCGATCACAGTCCATGCACTACAAGAATGTTAGCCTACTCCTCCTGACCTTGAGAATAAATCACTTACAGCCTCGTCCGCGCACATGCTCTTGCGGAACTTCTCCTTAGTCTCGGCATCAGGTGAGCCCTATCAGCGCGTTAGTCATCGTTCTTAAAGCCCAGATGTATCGTCGTAGTAGAAGAGAACGAGCAGGGAAGGGGAATACTTACAGCGATAAGGTAAAGATACTGCATGTACTCGCAGCTCTTGACCGTCTCACAGACTCTGTTGTCCGGGTAAGGGTACAAGTATTTCGGAAAACCCGCGCATGTCATTCTTCCCTTGGGGAAGGCGGAAGTAGGTCCCTCGGGTTGGCAACCACCTGCCCTGCTGCACTGGTACGGCACCGACCAGGTGCCGTTACTGGCGCATTTGTACATGAATCGATGATGGCTGTCGCAGGCCCAATCCCCGTAGGCACATTCGGTGCTGTTGGTTTGACGTTGGACATTCGACGGACCTACACCACCTGTCTCGCAATGCGCTCGGCCTGGGCTATCAGTGATGCAGTCTCCGTAAGTGGTGCACTTCTTCTCGGTATGCCACATCTCGTTGTCTCCGCAAAGCATGAGGGCGTATGCGTCAGAGTCGCACTTTCGATCGCCTGGCGTGCATGGCTCTGGTACGGTCGGGGGAGTCGGTGGCTTCATCCAGCACTGCACGACATCGTCATGCTTGACGCATTCGGAAGCCTTGGGACACATGGTTGATTTCCAGACGTTGTCGACACACTCCTGACGCTTGTTCCCAGAGCAGCGGGATGTGCCAGTGTCGCAATACTCATGAGCATCTGGAGTTCCTTGCGATATCCACGACCGAGAGTCAAGGGATTTGGGAGGAGGAGCAGTTGACAGGATTTCAGGGTCGTAGACGCATTTTGTAGAGCCTTGGGTGACGTATTGACCAGGCACCCAGTGCATGCAAAACTCTTCCGATCCGCAGGTCTGATAGGCAAGCCAGAATTGATCATAGTTGCACATCTCGATGCGGTAAAGACCGTTTGACCAGTTTGAGCATCGCGTCTCGGTCACTGTTTTGCAAGGCTCAGGTTGCGGTGGAGTGCCAGGAGGGAGAGGTGCCGGTGGCAAGTCCGCAGTCGCGCAGGAAGTCTTGTTCATGAGTGTGTTACATACTCCGGGTGTAGGGCATGCTTCAATGGCTTTCCATCGGTGCTCGTTGTTGCATGCGACACGCCACTCATTGCCGAGGCAGCGCTCTTCGCCGGGGATGTCGCAGGTCGCGATACAATGACCATGATCATCAGGGTTGTTGGTGTCAATGGTACAGATTTCGGTCTTGCTACATGACTGATCCGACCAGTATTCAGTGCCTTGGGGATTGCAGATCACCACGTCGTTGTAGTCGCACTTTCGAGTGCCTGGCTCGCAGAACTGCTCCGAGGATGGGATGCTGGCAGAGAACACCACAGGTAGTACCATGGCCAGAGCCACGAAGATCGTGTTGAATCGCATCTTCAGTGAGCGTGTAGGATGAGGTGGTAGTGAAATGTAGTGGTAGGAGAAGAGAATTGAAGTTGATAGTGCAGAATGGGAGGAAGGAGTAGAAGAAGTCGGTCTACAAAGCACATCGACGTACAAAAGGGGGCCAAGCTAGAAGCACGAGCGGTGTAGAGGTAACCACTGCCTCATGGTATGAAGCAGGTGATAGGTCGATAGTGAGGGAAAGAGCTACCCCGATACTGACAAACGCCCGAATGAGCGAGTAGTTGAACTCATTCTCGAACATTTGGGCCGTCGGTCAACTAAGAGCCTATCAGCTAGTATGCAATTCAATACTCTAGGTCCTCAACGCATCAAGCCAAGCCTTCTCCGCTCTCAGTGTTTGCACCCTCAATCCAGCGACTCGACTGGGCAGGCTCGACCAACAGTTTCGATAGGCCGTAGCTCTTTTCAAGTTTCATTATATCGTATCGAGATATTGCGTCAGATTTCATGGTTTGTCAGAGTGCCGAGATGAGGGAATGCAGAATGCGGGATTCAAGACCGACATTCGCGGTGAGTACCAGTCACGTGACTCGCGCGAGCTCGCCCGGAATACCGAGGTGGTCAGTTCACTCTCAGCCATTTCTCTTAGTGAAACTCCCACGATAAAGTTCCTAGAAACTTATTCCTCTAATGTTCAAAGCTTCGGGCCCCCGCTTCTAGGTTCGTTACAATCAACCCGCACCAACCCATCCCATTCGCCGCCATGCTACTATCAAAAGCCTCCGTTATCTTATCTCTTCCGTTCACTGTACGCGCACTGTCTTTCTCCTCTTTATTCGGCATTCGAGGGTCTGAACAGCAAACATGCGACCGTTCATGCTACGCCGACTATCGCTCGCTCATGGGCGACGCTGCTGAAGACCTCCTACTTCCAAGCTCGTTATCGCATCGAAACACAGCCGACGATCTGTGCAGCGATCTGGAATGCTCCGAGTGTGACTTTTGCGACGTCGGCCTCACTGGTCGCTTTCCTATCCTGTCTCTGCAAAATGTAGAGCTCAACCGGATAGCGAATGCGGAAGAGAGAAAAGGTGCGGACAACGCGGAAGTGAAAACGTGTACGGACTGTCAGCTGTACCTGGATAGCTGTGAGACACCTCACGAACGCAAAATGGCATACAATCCCCCGTGGCATGAACTCGCCCCGCCCTACCCACTCCACACAACAGATCACCAGCGAACTCTACAATGCGAGCTTCAGCTCTGCACAGACGGTCCTGTACACTGCGGCGTCAACGGGGCATGCGAGCGCCAGATTTGCAAAGACCTCGCTGACCGTGCTGACCTTCTCGAACCGGCTCATACAATGGAGTGTGAAGACTGCATGAAGTCCTGGGTCCGATGCATACACGATAGGTGTATTCCACCTACACTCGACGCGTTGGCAGACAGCCTACGCTCACCCAATTGCTTCAAGAACCATACTCAATGTCAGCAACAAACATGGCAAGAGATCAACGCCTCGCTTGCGCCGGATCGGGATTGTGTGGAGTCTTGCTGGGGGAGTACCCCAACGTATTGCCATACTGGTTCTTGTGCCTTGCCCTTTCGCTCCTCGGAGACGCGAAACTGGACGTCTCTCTTGCTCGCTTCCGCCCCAAATGGACTCGAAACTTTATCTCGAGGTTGCAGTGCGTTTCGCGATACATGCCTGGAGACTTGTGACCTGGGTAATGCTCACTTGAAGTGCGAAGCAAAGTGCGAAAAACTGCATAGTAACAATGAATGGTTCAAAGAAGTATGTGAGCAGACGTGCGGGAAAAGGACTTGCTGGACCGAATGCAGAGACATGACATGCTGCGTAGGACCAGAGCAGTGTAGAGAGGGTGGAGAGGCATACAGGTGCAACAACAGACTGAGATGCGAGAAGTATAGGAAGATGGTAGAGAAGGGCAACATGATGCTGCGCAATTAGCAGGTGCTATTGCTCAAATGCGTTACCCCATCACATTTCCTGTCAATCACAATAGTGGAATGTACTGGATCATAATCGATGAATTAAACAGGATCGTCGGCCTGTGACCTCGATGTTTTGGCAGAACTCCACCCAACGCCTTGCATGTAGCTCATGATATGGTAAATGTAATAGCAGTCGTAGCAAGCTGGCGGCCCTGATCATGACCGCTGCATTGCCTTTGGCTGAACGTCGGCCTGCATGAACGCCGTCATGCACCGTGATGTCATGCTCGCCCTTATTTCGGGCCTGAGCCATATCCAGCGCTGTTCTTCGGTTCTTCAGCAAGCAAATCGGCGCTGTATACACGCTTGTAGTCCTGCTCGCTCCAGCCCTGCTGCTGGGCAAGGCCACTGAGACTCAGGCCACGCGAACGAGTCTTCTTCACTGCATCACCTTGAGCGGCGCCAACGGGAGCAGAGTTGTAGTTGAGGGGCACTACACCTTGACCGGGAGGCGGGAATGGAGTGGAGCCTGTCGGCGACGCGACTGTTTGGCCCGTAGTGACGTTGTCGGGTACTTCAGAGTCGGCGGAGAAGTCGGACGAGACAGACGCTTGCTGCGCTCGCTTCAGTGCGTTTTCGTAGTTCGCTGAGCTTGCTCGAGCCATGCCAGGGCGGCGGTAGCCAGTGTAAGCGCGGACAGCTTCAGTCGGGCCATTGTCTGTTGTCTCGTTTCCTCCACCGGCACCCATCAGGGGCAAAAGGTTTGGGTCAGGAGCGGCCGCATCGGTTTGCGAAGCGCTGTTGGAGGTGAAGGCGGCTTCGGCTTCGGAGCGTGTGTTGGGTGTGAGGCCCGAGGGAGTAAAGGCGCCCGATGAGAGGAAGGAGCCCTCGGTGGGCGGCATGAGAGATGGTCGTGAACTCATGGTGAAGACGGTGTGTGCTATCATTTCGTAGTAAGCTGCAAGACGTCCTGGATACCTTGGAAGCGTGAACGTACGTGAAGTCTGTAAACTACTATTAGTGTCTAGGCGGTGCCGTGTCGAATAGTATGATTGGAGGGTACTGGTCCCTGTCTATCAGTCAGCTGGGTAATCCCTAGAGGCCGTAGAAGGACCGCACCGAATGTTCAGGGTCTTTGGTATGCAGGTGCAGCAAAAAGAATCGTAATTGTTCGTTCACATCGGTCCTAAGCGACTGCCATGTATTTGAGCAATAGCGGCTGATGCTATGCCATCATATCTTGGCGGGTGACGTCTTTTCAGGGTCCAGACTTGCGGGGCCCTCTAGCCGCATGTGGCAGCTTCTCGTGCAGCTCAATCAACAATGAGGGCGATGGCGACGAGCCGCAAGGGTTTGCGCTGATCGCTGACATGCTTGCTGTGGATATGGGCCCTCTCAATAGGTGGGAATGGCGCGGGCGAGGTCTTCAAGCGGAGAGAAGACGTGCAACATGCATGTCACCGCGCGTTAGGGCTGGTGATACTCGGAACACGGGACACGGGTGAGTATTGGACCTGTGAATTCCTCGACTAAACATCCAACAGCCATCTGACCACTCACTCCCATTAATTCGAATCGAAGCATCGAAACACTAACAAAACCAAACATCGACCAAATAGAGACATGGTGCCTACATCGCCGATCTACAAAATCTTGCCACAAATAGCCCCTTGCTTCCTGCCCAAAACCGCCCAACACATCTGGCGTAATGAAGCCTCTAGACAATCTGCGATGCCGTTAGACGAGGATCCCACTGGAAGGTGAAGGGGAAACAGATGTCTTACCCCACTACATTAGCCGCGAATCATCCGACAGTATCGAACTAGAGGCCAGAGTGGCAAACACCAATGGCGGCGGTAGTAGCACCACCAACCTTGGCAGTGCATTCAACATAGGCAGCATAGACTGCGGCGAGAGCAAAGCCAGCGGTGCCTTCAATAGCGGCCAAAGCAGCGCCAGTGCATCCAGCGATACCGGAAGCGCCTGCAAGCCCAGCAGCAACGACGCAAGAGCCACATGCCCAGTTCTGGAAGCAGCCGCTTCGGCCTGACTTGATACGCGCATCGTGAAGGGCAAGCGCTTGACGCTCCATGCGACGGACCGAGTCGTTGCGAGCGGCAAGCTTGTTGCTCTTGACTTCAGATACAGCGTCGACACGGGCGGCTTCCGGGGCGACCAAGGCCGAGACCTCGAGCGAAAGTTCGGTGAAGACGTATTCTTTGACGTGGTCCGGCCAGGCCTGGACGGCTTCAATGGGTTGCTGAAGGAGGGGGCACCAGTCTTCCACGGTCATCGTGACATAGTCGACGGTGTTGAGGAGGTCGACCATGGCCTTGGTCGGAACATGGACCTTCTCGGCAATGACCTCGATGGGGATAGCTCCCAAAGAAACGTCGATGTCGATGTTGGCCGTCGCATTGACGCTGGCGGCTGCAGCCACGCTGGCAGTAGCAAGGAGAGATAGCTTGAGGAATGAGGCAGTCATGGTGAGGTGGGGTAGCTGATGAAGGCTGTGGTTTGAGAATGAGATGATTGAAGGGTCTGGAGTAAAGAGAGGATAGTGAAGTATTGAGCTGGTGTTCGAAAAGAGCATTGTTGTCGGTACTTATAGCTTTGGTAGTTCCACTCAACACACAACGACACGATACCTGATTACTGAGAAGCAGTATGTAGTGTCGGATACGGATGCAACAATTCACAACATGCCGTTCACCTTCTCACTGACATCTGCTCTATTCGCGCGGAAGCAGAATGTCACGCGACAATAGCAGTATACCAAGCGCACCTTGACTATCGAAGGACCGAAGGAGCCATCAGCCCTAAGGACTTGGGTTTCTCGCGTTCTGGTTGATACCGGTTCTATTCATGCAGAAGCGGAATGCCCAGCACTCAAACGAAATTACCTGAAGTACAGTCACTGCCAAATGCAGTAACTATGTGAGTTCCAAGGACTTGGGTCGCTAGCTGAACAGGTATCTTAGCTCTCTTCACCGCTGAGTATCAGTCATCAGGATTGACTCGCTGTTCTCACTCGGTCCAAAGTAAGGCACAAATCCAGACTTATGACCTGCATTAGGACTATCTCCACCATGTCAGCCCTACGATTCAGGGTCTTGCCGAATACCTAGAACGGTCCGAATGACCAGTTCTGTTCAACTGTCTAGACCGGCCCGAGCACGGTCTTGGTAGTGCTCCGATGTATACTAATCCAAAGGCTGCCAAGCATGTACTTCGAACTTCACATCTTGCGTCTATCACGGTATTCCCAAGAGTTGATCTGCTGTACTGGGTCTGCATCAAGCGATTACTTGTCGGTGAGGTGTAGGGCCTTTGCAACACCATCTCAGCATACTTGGCTTCATTTGCTCGAATCAGTCACGCTCGTATCCAAGTCTCAGCAATGAGATACCGCCGATACTTGCTCATGGCTATGATTTTGGGGGTCAAAGACAGTGCCGTAGGGCGTGTTGGACTTAAAAGAGGAGTAGGATGAGGCCGTTGCGAAAGCTATAAGAACTGAAGGAGTTCCGCACAAAATAGATATCTCTCATCATCTACAACCATCACTTTCCAACACTCAATCATCACATCTTCCCACTCCAAATCTTTCATCAACTCCTCTCAACTCAACAACATGTTCTCCAAGACCATCATCCTCGCTCTCTTCGCCTCTTCGGCCGCCTTCGCCGCCTCCATCCAGCAGAGGCAGCTCAACCCCAGTGTTCAGCTCTGCTCCAACAAGGACTTCAACGACTGCGACAATGTGAATTTCCACTACGGCATCTGCGGCAAGTTATTCCCAGCATGCATAACTCTTGGACATGATAACTAACAGAAAGCAGAGGCTTCCGGAAGACTGAACGACAAGGTCAGCTCGCTCAAGGCAAACGGCCACAACTGCATCTTTTACAAGTAAGTGATCACCGAACAGCAGTTATGGATTGCACATGCTGATTACTTCATAGCGACACTGGTTGCCGCAATGGAAACGGCCAGATTGCTACCACTGGTGATGTTGCCAACATCCGCTCCCACAGCTCTTTCTCCACCATGAACGATGATATTTCCTCTTTCTTGTGCAGCATCTAAGTGTTCTCTTCAGCATACTTTTCCTGTCTTTCCGATGCTTAGCAATTGTATGGTGGTTTTGTCCTGTCTCGAGGCGAGCTTGGTGCGCGAGCTCGGTATCCACGGGAACACATCACGGGAACGTCAGGGCGGGGCAGGCTTTCAGTCCACACAGCTGAAGATAGGCGATTCTTTACTTTCGATTTCTTTTCTTGGAAAGACTCTTTTGATTGGGGGCGGCTTGATTTGGTTTGGGGATAGATCGTGTAGTACGGAAGCCTTTTGGTTTCATAATAAAGCAGTTGTCTCCTGAACGCACCTGAATAGGCATTCCATTCATGAGGCTGACGCTAACATGCAAGATTTCGGCGGGTGCCGTCTCATACAGTGCAACATTCAGGTCTGGAAACTGCGGTAGGATGAAAGAAGCAAATTAGCAAGCCGGGCGTCGACGTAGGCTCCAGGGTGTTTGGTGTTGGTGTTCTCTTTGATTGAGGTGGGGCAACTTTTGGAGGAGTCGATCTACATAGATCGCCCCGATCCTCGCGTCACCCCGGGCCTGCGGTCATCAACCTTACCTAGGTACTTCACAAACACAGCAACAGCAATAGGATCTTGGTGATCTAGCATTTCGGTAACGACTGTTGTATTTTGATCGATAAGACTAACGCCAACCATATTTGAACCTGGTAATGACTGACTGACAGGAGGAAACCTTGGAAGGTTACCTAGGTACAATTTGGGAAAAACAAAGAGATCCAACAGTTCACCCAGCACACTAAACTTCAACACAGACTTCCCCAAACTACATTGCATCCCACATACATGCGGCATCAGAGCAACAATGGATGCTGAGCCATTACAGGTTCATCTTGTGGCCCTGGCGAACGTGATCACGAAGTTTGTCCATGCGATCAAACTTCATGTGGCAACCCTCGACAACGCATCTAAGGTTAGGGGCTTGGTGCTTACGCATGTGGCGGCGGCAATCGCCAACACGGCGGTACGCCTGGGGAAGTATGAAGTCAGAACATGTCTTACATAGGTACACTTCGTACAGACAAAACTCACCTTGGTGCAACCATCAATGTTGCAATGAAAGCGCGGTTCGATCGTGCGGCGACGAGCAGCGGCATGCGCACGTGACGGCGGTGTGATGATGTTTGGCTGAACAACAGCATTCAGAGCGGGAGCGGGCGCGATAGGCTGGAAGGCCTGGCCAAGTCCTGCCGTAGGGTAGGAAGGCTGCGTCAGGAATTCGAAAGGATCGAGCTGCGGAAGCATCTGCGAATAGAAGCCATCACCGACGGAAGGGTCGACGAGATGTTCATCGAACACAGGCCAGTCTACGAACGTGCTGGCTTCTCCAAGCAGACGACCTTGGGTACTGTTTGTGACAGTGTCGTACAGACCGAAATAGCTGTAGGGTCCTTCGACAGGTGTAACAGGAAAGTCTTCCAGCGTGCCGGGGGCTTCATCGATGATAGGGTCGCTAAACTCTAGGTTCGCTGGGGCTTTTGGGCCCGTACATTTTGTTTGTCGAGAATTGGCATAACTGCATAGCATTAAAAAAAAATCACCTGTGATTCGTTGCGCCGCCAATTGTCTGTGCGCTTTCGCCTGGGGGCGAAGTAGCCTGAAGGCCCTCCCAGCCGTGGGCGATTTGTCCGCCGAAGTTCCAAATTTCCATTTCAGCTTCGAATGTGGTCGTGTCGTGTAGCAGCGTGGAGTCGAATAATTGTTTCGTGAATAGTAGTCGTGACACAATTTCGATAGAAGCGCAGACTGGTGAAGCACTGTGGTCCGTTCGGGTAGAGTCGACGGTGATGGACGACTCGATCGTAAAGGAGGGGAGAAAATAAAAGAAGTTGGAAATGTCAACACGACAATCAGGAAGAGCACGAAAGACGCACAACAAACGGTGAGTAAAAGAAAGGGCAACCAATGATGCAGCGGTAGTGCAAAGGGGCAAGTTCCCGCTACGTGATTGGGCGAACTACCACCTGGGCAGCCTCGCCGTGCACACCCTGGAGCCGCACTCAAGAGTATAGCCTTCCGCCACGATATACAAGACAAACTCTGATCATCTACCTGCTAGGAGCCTACATTACCTGAAGATCTTGTCTATGTCAACTTCAATGCTAGTGTAGACTGCAGGACATCCATTAATTCTGTTCCTTGAAGAAGGTGTCGCTAAGCTTGCAGCTACCGCAAAGCACGCACCATGGACTCGAGCGAAATCTTTAGTTGCAATAAATGCTCCAAACGTTTTGACACCTTAGGTCGCTACAAGTAAGCTCGTAAGTCGATGCTCTTCCAACTACTGCTAACATAACACCAGCCAACACCTCAAAACGCATACAAAACCCTTCCATTGCAGCAACTGCGCAAGAGGCTTTGCTCTGCGTTCCGATCTCGCCAGACATGTACAAGCACGCCACCGACTTGGCATAGCCCGACATGCATGTGAAGTCACAGGCTGCTCCTTCAATACTTCTCGCAAAGACACCATCCGTCAACATGTCCAAAAGAGCCATCCGCAACTGCTTATTGGCATTAGCAAGGTCAGACCAGGCCGTCGTCGAGCAAAACCGCAGGACTCTATGGTGGCAATCCCACTTGATGTGCCCTTGCTTGGTCAAGGTGCCCTGTCGATAGCGAGTGTTCATACACTTATGCAGGCAGCTTCGGCAGGTAATATTGGGCTTGTACAAGCTATCTTGCATTCAGACGTCTACATCTCGATACAAGCTGATGACGGTTCCACCGCTTTACATTGCGCCGCCAAAGCCGACCAGACCGATATGATTAACCTTCTCATCGAGTGGGGAGCACGATCGGATATTATAAACAGCAAGGGTAAAGTAGCTGCCACAAGTAGCTATTAAGATATCTCGCTAACTTATTACTAGTATGTAGCTCCCTTGCTATGCTTTGCTAACGCGGTTCTAAGACATCTTATTATCTGTGCTAACAGCTTGATAGGGAAGAACACCTCTACATGAAGCGATATTAGCTCGCTGCACTTCCGCATTCAATATCCTTGTGCAAAGAAGAGTCGATATCACCGAACATGTGCTATGCGCAACAATCCAGACAAGCCAAACCCAACTCTTCAAGACCGCGTGGGAATCCTGCGGCGAACAGATGTTGGGAATGTTCAGCCATGAGCTATTCGCGATCGCCGCCGATTCCACCAACACAGCATACATGGCTACAATATTGTTGTTACCCGACATTACCCAGCAATGGGTCAGGAGCAAAGGAAGATCAGTGGTATTGCGAATGATTCACAAGAACCAAAAAGCCATACTGGAATGCCTGCTGAAGTCTGGGAAGTTGGATGTCAATACGGCTCTTAGGAGGTCCAGGTCTTACGAGTCCAGTCTTCTTTACATTGCCGCTGCCCAGGGGAAAAGCGAGATTGTAGGGCTTTTGCTCGGATTTGAGACCATTAATCTTGACCTGAAGGTGTATAACGAGACTTCATCGCCGCTGGGTATTGCTGCTTTGAATGGACATCTCCAGATTGTCGAAAAGCTCCTCCAATTCCCTGGTATTGTTGTCGATGGCAAAAAGGTGCACCAAGGGAAGGCAACAACATCTCTGCATCTTGCATGTCGCCGAGGACATGTAGAAGTCATACGGCTGATGCTCAAAGCCTTCGACGACCGAGGACTCGATGTCGACGTCCAGGACACATCTAAACTTCGGATGACGCCACTGCAAAACGCTGTATACGGTGGACACACAGACACGGTAGCGCTCTTGCTACTTCGACAGGACGTCGATGTCAATCGAACCTTTGGTCCCTCAAGAATGAGCTTGTTGCAGGCGGCAGCACAGGGTGGTCATGGCAGAACGTTGAGTGTGTTGCTGGGGCATGGCCGAGTTGATCGAAACGACGTGAGAAACAGTCGACAGTCGCTATTGTCTGAAGCGTTATCGGGGGGACACTGGTGTCTGATGGAAATCCTATTCGATTACGAAAGTGGCCCCCTGAATATCATTCGCCAAAGCTTAGATCTTGCGACAGAGCCGTCTGGAAAGTGTGTCGATATCTTAGAAAAAGGGCTACTCGAAATAGCGTCTCTTCCAACCCAGGACAACACTCTCTGGCATCGAGCTGCCCGTACTGGTGACCTCAGTTTGGCAATGCTCTTACTTGAACATGCCCAAACGTACGACGCTTGCACCCAATCCATGGTGGATGTCAATCGTAGGAACCGGCATGGTCAAGCACCATTACATGTCGCCGTGGACTCTGGAAAGATTGGCATCATAGAGCTCCTACTCCACCACAAACAAATCGATATAGATCTCACTATCAAGTCACGTTATGGCTGGAACAACGGCTCTGCTATAGTCATCGCAAAGAAAGAGTACCAAAGGTACTGGCACTATCAGAAGGGGGAGCGTGCTTACATAGTAGATCTTTTGCTGGCCCATGGTGCACGGACTGCATCGCGCGATCGAGCAGACACCGCACACAAAGTCGTTCTCCCACCCTCAGCTATGGGTTTGAAAGAGTATGTGCAACACTTGCCTGAGCACTGCGAGGACCTTAGAGTGAAAAACCATGCGTCATGGGCTTCAGTCGTTGAAATACATGATGGTGGTGGCGGACCTGAAAGATCGAACGTGGAAGACAAGCATGCAGTTGGCGATATCATCCCAATCGATGCGGATGATTCGACGGTAGAAGACCCTGACGCCATATTCGAGGATTGGATGTGCTTTGACGATGAAGAAACGTCCGACAACAACAGCTTGGAGATATGGGAGCGAGAGGTGTCTCTTGTGTAGCCCGGTACTTTTGCCTCCTTATGTAAAGTACGTACTACGTGGTATGCGAATCATTCCAAGATTTGTTCGTGCAGTGCGCTTCGCAGGAGCAGCCGGTGCTAGAGGGTATCGAGAGGGTTTGTTGAGTTCGTTGGGTGCATATCGGTCTTTGAACATGCCCAGGTGGACTGGGTTTCTGTATTTGCTCGTCGTGTGCAAAATCGAAGGATCTCATGGAAGGACTTGTATACGTTCCGTTTCCCCAATAAGTCAGTAAAGAGATGTGGCATATCGCAGAGGCACAATGCCAAGAATTGATGGCGAGCTGCTACAAGGCCTCTGTGCATCTCGCGTGTGGCGGTGGACGATGTTGACGCGTCGGCGCCAAGCCAGCCGCAAACCCCCGAACACCAACTCCGAGTTTGCAGCTCCTCTCCATCTACTATGTACCATGCACAGCTCAATATTAGTGCTGTCATGAGAGAATCTGTTCATCCCTGCCCACCGCGTATCTCAATACTGGTTATGCGCCCACATCGAGCATGTTGAGCGTAATCCCTTCCCACGCGCATCATGGACGCGTATGAGCTCCTGCCAGGACGCGCGCAACCGCCCACTGCATCAGCTGAGCTAGACTCGAGTCTACGTTCTCGCTCCTCAGATCAGACCATCATAGTAGGTGCTACCGGAGAGACTGTGTTCGTACAAGGACTTGATAAGAGCGAGACCTCGGGAGTCTTGGGAACGTCTACGTCGTCAAGTTCGCCGGACGTAATGTCACAACTAACCGACTAGGCATTGCATCGCATTGCTACTCCCTGCTGCTGAGCTGCGTTTGCAATAGAGACTTGCTCGAGAATTGTACAAGGTAGTCACATATGGCGATGTGTGGAATTCTGTTAGCTTCGATCAACATACCATCCGTTGTCGCGTTGTTCTGGTACGTCTTCCCATTGAACTCATTGTTGTCTACCACTAACGTCAATTAAGTTCGATATCCTTCGCATGTATCCTCGCATTACGGCACTCCTCAAGCATGCCTATACCACGTCTCAGCGTCTCGAAGTTGGCGATCGCGCCCTCCCACCTCATACAAGGGAAAAACTGGACACCCAGGAGCCTACGTCGCCGTTACGCCACCAACTTCGCAGGATTTCATCTTGATGTAGGCTCTGAGGTGTTCGGGTTTTCCTTCGAATGGGGTGCTCCCTATCCCAGCGAACACCTACATAAGCACAAATATAATGGCTGTACATACTGGGTGGAGTCGCCATTGTACAGCCATCGCGCTGAACAACCCTCACCATTGGCAGCGGAGCTATCGGCGGGGAAACATGTTACGCCAGCAATGTCAGCTTTCCGCCTGTAGTTCGTTGGACTGTGGAACTGCCTTGAGTGAAGACTTCTTCCATGTCAAGTTCGTCAGTATGCTGGCGTTGTTGATGCACACGCTCACTCGATTTCTACCCGACATGAAGAGGCTGTAGACCGTGCGAAGAGAATATTTGAATACGGACAGAACAACTGTGGCATGAGAATCATGTTACGCGTGAATGGCGTTGGGAAAGCGAAGCTGAAACATCTTGCGAGGACTTCCGGCTACTCTCGCAAAGAGAGCTGAACTCTTGCCGTAAGGCTGAAACCAGCCACAAAATGCCACTTTCCAGTTTGCCGTACCAAATAAGCAACACGAGCCAACCAAAATCGAGATCTTGTTTGTATGAGATTAGCAATCGCTTCTTTCCAGTGGTCACTGTATTGAGCCGTGCGCGATACTAATTAGAGCCAGCAGGATAAACGCCTAGGGGTACCACCACAGCCACCGCGCCTTTGCACTACATAACCTTGCTGTGTATTGGTCCAGTCTAGCAGATGTAATATCACCCCCACAGACGATCCTCAGCCGCACCAAGTCAAGCTCGCCCGTTGTGGCAATGCCGTTCCTTTAGGGGGCTTCGCACACCTAGCGGGTAGGTACACATACCAGGGCATGACGCGCGACGCGCATACCAAACCTTTTCTCCCCCAGCAATACTTTTCAGTCGATCATGATATTCTTCAAACATCTGTTCGCTCTTTTGTTCGTTTCTTGCTTCGCTCGTGGCGATGGGAACAATCCCATGGACAGCCCTGCAGCTGGTGAAGTCATCGAAGCTGAGGAACCGTACCTGATTTCATGGTCCAATGGCACTCCAGGTCCCGTGTCGATTGATCTTCGCTTCGCCGATACAACCGCGGTGTTAATAACAAGTAAGAATCCTCTGCTTTTAAGACTCCAGTGACGCAAGAAGTGTTGGGACGAATGCTGATAGCTCTAGGTGAAACCCTTAACAACGGGAGCTATACATGGATACCATCTGGTGTGCTTGCAGGAAAAGACAACTACTTCATGGCGATTTGTGATGCAGGCGTGAACGACTGCACCTACACCTTCAACGGACGATTCGCAATCGAAGATGCGGGAGCCTTGTTGTCTCCATCGAGTTCTGCGAGTAGCAGGTCAGTCACACCCTTACAAGCTACCGTTACATTCCTCAAAAAAAAATTCTTTCGCTGACAGTACGATCGCAATATAGTACCATCCTCGTCACATCCTCATCAACCTCTAGCGCTGCTACCAGCTCAACTCCACTTCTCACTACCAGCGAACCGAGCCCAAGCGCAACAACGTCTTCCTCCCCACCCCAAAGCACTGGAACCGGACTACCCATAGGCGCGAAGATAGCGATAGGATCTGTATGTGGTATCGTTGGAATAATTCTCATCCTGCTTGGGACCTTTTGTATACTGCGCAAGCGCAAGCGGAGCAAAGCTGCATCGGAACCGCAATTTGTACACGAAGAAGCAGAAAAAGTTCCCGCCTTAAACATTGATAATGGTGCCTCTGGCGGACGCGTGGCGGGGTTGAGCGAGTTACACGATGTGCCAGTGAAGAGATCGAGGGCAGAGCTGCCTTGATGGATGAAGACATGCGCGGCAGTGAGGCCTGGTGTAATGGATTGCGAGACTGATGTATCTTTGTATGCACATTTCGATTCAAATATCTACAGCGAAAGTGATCAAGAAGGTTTCACCCAGTGTCTTAACCCATGCGATCGTCCCAGACGCACTCAACATCACTCGCCTCATCGCCTCGCCAAACGTTCCCAGGCACGTTCTTCGCCGCAACAGCAGCCCTAAGCTGAGTTCCTAGCTCAGGCGGGCCCGATCCGATGACTTGCGTCCTACCCTTCTCGACCGTCTCGGTCATGAAAGTGTCGACCAAGGAGGGGATGTCCGGTCGTGTGTTGTTAAGCCATGTGATGGTGAAGTTAGGGCATTGGCGGCTGAGCTCCTCAACTTTGCGGTCGAGAGACACGGAGTCAACGGAAGAAGTTTGCGACAATGAGCCGCCATCACCGAAGTCTTTGTCTTTTCCATCGTGGAGCTGATGAGATGGCTTTTGGTACTTCGTCGTATCAGGTCGAGTCACAAAGATGCGAATCCTGAAGCGCTTCTTCGCCTCCACCGATACTATTGGTGCCTTCTCTAGCTTGTCCTCGGTGTAGTGTCGACCAGCACCAGCACCAGCACCATCAAGTTGTGACTTGAGATAAGCGAGTTCAGGTGCGATCCAGGCAAGGTTCTCGAGGTGCCTTACTGTCCAGACAAGTTCGATGTTGCGCGCAGGGGATGCATCGCTTAATGCGTGCATGATGACGGGAAGAGTATAGGTGATACCGGTACCACCGGAAACAGTGAGAACGTTCGAGACCTCGTCGTTCGTGATTGTGCTGCCGTATGGTCCCATCATTATGACTGGCGTCGAGGCATCGCGACGTGGGTAGCACATGGCGGCTTGTTCAGCGAGAGCAGCAAGCTTGGCAGTTTCGCCTTTGCAGGCACGGATGATGTATGTGTGACTCTGTACTGGCGAAGAACTTGTAGGATTGGAGGCCGGGGTGAAAGGATGCGATTGCCAGATGTTGAGCGCAGGGAACGTCAGGTAGTAGTGCTGACCAATCTCCCAGGCCTTGTGGCTGTGAGCAAATGTCATGCGAATAATGGTACCGGTTGGGTCCTTGAATGTTTCCATGGTTGTTGGAATGGAGCGGAAACCAAGACCGAGACTTCCGTCCTTGTATCCGGTGTGGATGAGCCAAGTGCGGACGCTGCGGGCGACCAAATCGAAGCCCATGATGGCTAATGATGCAATCATCCAGCACGAAAGTTTCTCCCAGTGGCCCCAGCAGGCTCCCAGATAGAGGCCAGCGACGATGAGATGCGATTTGCGAAAGAACTCATAACCCGTCCAGCGGATTACCGGCCTGAGACTGAACACAAACAAGAAGGTGATGAAGCCTTGCGCAACACACCCCCAGATCATGTACTTCTGGCTGATGAATTCTCTGTACGTTGTTGGTTGCGGCTGGTAAAGCTTTGCTTCGACGATCGTCCATATGATCGCGTGTACGAAAGATTGGACAAGGATGATGCGGCCCGTCCAGCGGTGCAAGAAGTTGAAGCTCTGATATGGGATACCTGTGACCATGCTGAGCATAGAGTCGCGGCTACACAGGGCGATAGTCAGTGGGGTCAACGCAAAGGCAAAAGCACCAACGCGATCGGCGAAGCCACCAATACCGCTGCGGGTGTTGTGCAAGTCGGTGCCTTTGATTGGTGTAATCCAAGTCTTGTAGGTGATCCCGGTGAACCTTTAAGCGTCAGCTATGTCATGCCGTGTAGGTATCCTGACTTACGAAAAGACTGTCAGATAGACGCAGAGCAGCGCCAGGATCAGGACTTGCAACCTCGTAGTGTATCTGAATACCTTGGAGCATTCAGGCATGAGATGTCGTCGTACAGTGGAAGATGTCAGTCTGACGAGGCGATACAACATGCTCTGTCTGGCACCATCTTTCCTTCGTGGTCGAACAAGTCGAGATACGAGAATCGCAAGTAGGACCGCACCAAGGACAGCCCAGAAAATGAAGGTAAAGATCATCGATGTTTGGTGATTGCCGTAAACGGAATCAAGATACTCGCACGACCCGGCATCATTGGTGCACGGGAAGTTCCGAACCGCATAACCCCAATAGTCGATGGTATATTCGACATTGGCATCGTTTTGGATGTGACGAGCGGCTAGCGCGTTGTCGGTGAAGTTGAAAAGCATTGTAATGAGAGGACGCAGCGCAGCTGCAAAGCAAAAGGAACAACAACAAGGAAGAAAGATATATCGTAGTCAGACACAGCAATATGGCACAACGGCCTGGGAGGAAGTCCATCTAATAAATCGAGACTGCCACCCAATTTCGCAGGTTCCACTCCGTAATTGAACCAAGGCTTGTCGTGCGTTGACAGGATGTGGGTTCCGCTGTCAGGTTCCTTCGAAGTGAACGGCCAATCGTGTCGTTTCCGTTACTGGCGCTGAAACAGGAAGATACCCACCGACCCGCACTGATGGCGCCGTTCGTTTGGGAGTTCGGATCGGACGGGTATTCGGCAACAACGTCGAACTACCATGACAGCCGCAACAGCGACATGTCGTAGATAGCATTGCTGGTGTCGTGTAGATAATTGAGAGATAGCATGGTGCAGCGCATGCATCGCTTGAGTCACATGGAACTCTTCTCGTGGACGTCGGAAAGTGGCAATAGGGTGTTGCGCAAGAGCCACGCGCCAAGATTTTCCTGCTACTGACTTCCTCTTGCCTCTTCAAACCAAGCATTAAAGGTGTGGCACCTCATCATCGTGCAATATAGGATCTTGAAAAGCAAGTGAGGCATTGGGAGAGCGCGAGCCCTCGAAACGCGGTCTATCATCGCACTAACGCGAAAATCCTGACGTAATCAGTCGCGTCGAGAGAGTCGCCATGATTGGCCAGCACAGTCCACCGCGACAGGAGCCTGGAGATGCAGCTGCGACGTGCACCATCTTCGCGCCTTCACACAGTCGTGGCCCATCGTCCCGTCGACCACGAATGCGCATTATATTCTCATCCATCATGAGCCGCATTCTCACCAATTCACACTGACTCACTCGAACCATGGCCGGGTCCCAGTCTTAGCTAAAGGCGCCTCCCCCTCCGCCGAAACTGCGCTGTGCTTCGGCTGTAGCCACTGCTCGTCCATATAGAGACACATGATTGGAATACCACGTTCAGTACTCCAATCCCTTCAGAGGGATTAGTAAAGCCAGAAGAACAGTCAAAGCCACTCCAGCCAAAGAGAAGAAAGACGTCCCGATTTCCACCATAAAGACACTCATCACCTTCTCAAGATCAGCTCCCGCGAAGATGTCACGAATTCGGTTTGCTACAACCTTTGCCGCGTCAACATTGGGCGAGGACCTAGCTAGTTTTTCAAGCAGGCCGGCTGACAAGAGCAATTGAGCTGCTGTCACGAAATAAACACCGGAGAGGGCATTAAACACTGGCCGAGACATTAGCCAGCGCAGCCGGGGCTGGTTGAGATATCGCACGTTACTACAGTCATCGAGAACGTCAGACTCACGTACAGTGCGGAATTACGGGTAGTGTCTTATGTCCGACGCGGCAGAGTCACCTTGTGTCAGCATGGCGCCCTGGCGGGGTTAATCGGGCGAAGAAGGTGCCTGACGCGGATTGAAGCAACATTGAACATATCTATCTCATTGCCCTGGACTGGTCTGGCACAAAGATCTCATCTCAATTCACAAACATCTCACCTTCATCTTCAACACGGAAACAATATGTCTTTTTCGTCCGCCCCTAGGACTATCGCTGGGAAGCCAGTCGGTCCCATCGGCTATGGTATGATGAGTGAGTTGCCATGCAGACGACGACAATGCGCCGTCACAGTTGCTAAACATAATCTGCACAGACCTCACACTTTTCGGTGGCATTACTCATGACGAGGCCATCAAGCCAATGAAGGCCGCTTTGGAAAACGGTGCCACTTTTTGGAACGCTGTACGACCCGCGCCAGAAACGTTGATGTAAAATATCGGCTGACATCCTCGTAGGGAACCTTCTACGGGCCTCCAGATGCGAATTCTCTCCAGCTCCTCAAGCACTACTTTACCAAGTACCCGGAAGATGCATCGCGCGTTGTGCTCAGCATCAAGGGCGCTTACGATGGAGCTACTCAGTCACCGACCGCTAGTCCGGAGGAGATTCGAGCCTCCGTTGACGAGTGTCTGACCTTGCTCGACGGTACCAAGACGATCGATCTCTTTGAGCCCGCGCGCGTTGACCCCAACGTTCCCATCGAGGAGACTGTTAAGGCACTTGTTGATCTGGTCGAAGAGGGCAAGATTGGCTCCTATGGTCTCAGCGAGGTGAACGCTCAGACCGTCCGCCGTGCTCACGCCGTACATCCTCCCGCCGCTGTTGAGATTGAACTGAGTCTGTTTTCTCAAGGTGCTCTAGAGGAGGCAGGCGTCGTCGACGGTTGTCGCGAGCTTGGCATCCCCATCGTCGGCTACAGTCCCCTCGACCGCGGCTGGCTCACCGGACAGTTCAAGACTCTCGATGATATCCCCCAGGACGACTTCCGCCGTTTCTACCCACGCTTCCAGCCCGGCAACTTCGAGAAGAACGTCGAGCTAGCTGGTGCTGTTGAGGAAGTTGCCAAAAAGAAAGGGGCCACCAGCGCCCAAGTTGCCATTGCTTGGGTACAGCAGCAGGGTGTTTTGCCTATTCCTGGTTCTACCAAAGTGGAGCGTGTCCAGGAGAACACCAAGTACGTAGAACTTACCGAAACCGAGACTAAAGAGCTTCATGAAGCTCTTAGCAAGGCACATGTCTCAGGTCATCGATACCCCGAGATGTTCCAAGCTCATCTCGATAAATAGTAGGGCGGCATGAGTAGAACAGCTCGGCCCGCCTTTTGTACGATGGGTACTCGTTTGAGTCTTCTCGGTCGTGGAATGGTAATGAACCTTCAATGTCAACCCAATCTGTGTCTTCATCAGTTCAGTGCCTTGATATACGACGCTACATTAGATCAAGATGTCAAAGGGGCTTAAATTTAGGCTTTGAGGGAGTCTTCAGATACAAAAGACCTCACGCGCGGACGCATTCAGTCAACTCTCGCTACAAATCTCGGGAGCGGCCTTGTTATTAAGATTTGGTAGTTTGTATGCACCAAGGTGCCCCACAAGGTCTAGCCACTCCTAGTGCTGCCAGCTTCCTCCACTTCATCCACCATCTGCTTCGTCTGCTTTGACCAATTATCAATCTCTTCCTTCGCAGTATGAAGCCATCTCCTGGCAACATCCTCGCCGCTCATCCTGTTCGATTGCTTCCCACGAAGGGCCTGTTCGATAGCATATGATGCGTATTTGATAGATCGCTGATGCGTACCGAGAAACTCGATAAGCTGGACTTGGTGCGCGGCTCTGGATATTTCTGAATCGAGGTCTTGGGAGGAAACCGTCGGATTGACTGCGGCTGCGGAGTCTATTCGGCACAACGTGGCTTCTGTGGTGTTCGCTTGTGGCAATTGGCAGTGCGTTTCTGGGGTCTTGCTCTCGGTCATTTTAGCGATTGTATCGAAGAAATGGGAGACCAGGGCGAGCTGAATGTCAGGAGTGTTATAGCGCGTCCTTTTTGCTTGCAACGTCACTCTGATTTTGTTTACTTATCCTCAACACCTCAATTCCCGTATCTTCAATTAGCGAGCTATGATGCACCCCTCTTCAAGACGCAAACACCGTACGTCAACGGTGCCCTCACATTCCGCCGCGCCAACACGGCCGTTCGATTCTGCGTCATACTTTGACAGCACATCGTCAGCTGTGAACGGGTGATATCCATAGTTCGTCGCGTTGTTGCTTCTACGCAGGCACAGTCGACTTCAGCCAGTTCACCTAGCAAACAACACGCTTGGCCAACGGCTGAGCGAGGTACAGTCTAGCCTTTCCAATCCTTTATGCAGCACTACATTGCACGTAGATATCCGCGAACAGTCTCATGATGCGAGACTGTTGGCTGTTCTGGTGTAGCCGTCTTCCAAGCTGTCAGCCTTCTTGCAGCGACGAGAAGCGTGCGCAAAGCTAGCCGCTTCCAGCCATGCAACCCCACTTGTCCCACTCGTACGATCCATCACAATGCGTCATACCGTGCGTCTCGTCACTCAACCATCCAAGGCGAAGCCATCGTGCTTGGTACAGAACCTCCCAACGTAATCTAGACAGGAAGTTGCGACTGCCTGATAGCCAATGTACGCGTCATGACCTGAGTACCTAACCTTGGCGGTGCTGCCCTCCGCCTGTACATAGACCCAAGGCAGGTAGCATGCGCCAGTGTTTACCTTGCGAGATCCGCTTTCGCATCATCCCTTTCGTTCTCGCAACAAAAGCCCTGGCATCGTGAAGATCCAACATGGCGGCGCTTTCCCACTATGTCAGCTTCTACACCTCCATGGCAAAGGCTATGTTTACAATCATCTTCGCACGCCTCTACACACCTCAGCGCCCTCCCCACCGCAATCTGCAAGGCCAAACTGCGATAGTGACGGGCGCGAACAGCGGCATCGGTCTCTCGATCGCGACTGCGCTAGCAAAACAAGGTGCAGTCGTGTATCTCGCCTGTCGCAATCTCGAAAAAGGCGATGCAGCCGTGGCTTCCATCGTTTCGCAATTCGGGTCCGAGGCTAGCAAAAGGGTGTTTTGCTGGAAACTCGATGTTGGGGATCTAGAGAGTGTACGTGCGTTCTGTGAGAAGTGGAAAGAGGAGGGCAAGAAGATTGATATGCTTTGCCATAATGCTGGGATAGCGGGACCGCCTGAAGGCTCAAGGACTAAGGATGAGAAAGGCCGCGACGTGGTTCTTGTCACGAATTTTCTGGGCAGCTTCTTGATGACGAACTTGTTCGAAGGATATCTAGGCGAGAAGGCAAGAGTCGTTTTTACGAGTAGTACTGGGCACTATGCTGCGGCAGAGACTCTGATGCGCCCAAATCTGGAAGACATGACAGCAAAGACTACTGGCGATGAGGGCGGCGTTATGCAAAAGCTCATGGGAAAGGCGAAGGCATATTTTGGTATAGGAACAACTACCCTTCAATCATACGCGCTCTCGAAAGCACACCAAGTCCTCTTCGCCGCTCTCCTCCAGCGCCGCTTCGACTCCACCCCACACAACCAACGCTCGGCGCACTCCTTTAGTCCTGGGTTTACGTCTACGCCTATCTTCGGTAAATTTGCCGTCTCTTGGAAAACGTGGTTGAGCAACCCTCTTTTCGCCGTTCTCAAAACGACGGAAAGGTATGTCGCGGTTGATACGGATGAGGGCGCAAAGACTGGAGCCTGGCTGGCGAGTTGTGGTGGGGAGGAAGGGGTCGAAGGGGGATATTGGGAGTGGATGAGTAGACGGATGAGTCTTGTTGAGTTTGTGGAAAGGCAGCTTGGGGAGAAGGAGTGGAAGGGGCAGTGTGAGAGGGTTTGGAGGGGATGGGAGGAGGATAGTGGCTGTACTTGGGCCACTGTCAAGACTTGATGTAGTGTCGATCGAGGAGGTCAAGACGGAACTAGAAATCAAGAGTGATTTGTCGATGTGACATTTTGTCTTCCTAGTTCCCTGTCCTACCTGGACTCAGATAGTGACCTATGCCTAAAGCGTGTCAGAGTAGGTTAGGTGTTGCCTCGAAAGAAAGCGAGGTCGCTATAGAACGTAGCTGTGGCATAATACACAGCCTATAGTCTCCCAAGTTTGAATATCATGACCGTGATAGAAGCAGTTTATATTGGAACTAGGGACGAAGGGGATAGCAAAAAGGGGTTGCCTAACCCTGGCTTAGAGATTTAGGTGATCAACTACCTGGGTGAAGGCCTAGCAAAAATAAAAGAAACATGCACAACATGTAGCTGCTCTCGGTTTCGATCCGAGGTCCTCCGGGTTATGAGCCCGGCGCGCTTCCGCTGCGCCAAGCAGCTTTTGGCAATTGCTGCTTGATGTAAATCTTGAGAACTAATAGACATATCACTGCTACTGCTTCTGTTCCAGCCCGTTCTGACCTGATGTTAAAACAATATTCTAGCGTTGGATAGAAAAAGGGTAGTTGAAAGTCGGGCTGATCCATTCAGCAAGGTGCAAAGGTGGGGCGGGGTATGACTCCGATTTGACTCCTCGCGAATACTGAAGAGTACAAAATTTACTTCCTAACTGCTCAGGTGTCTTGTACGCGTAGAAAGCGCTAAGGATGTGGAGCGTAGTGCATTGTGCGAGGGGCAGATTGAAGCTCTTGTGAGGATGCAGGGTGTTCGAAAAGACGAACAAAGAAAAAATAACGAACCGCAAATTCAGGTCGTAACAAACATCAGAGTCTGAAAGTAATATAGCGTGGTGTGGTTGATCAACATATTGCTGCGGGACAAAATTGCTGTTAAGCATCGTGGGCAAGCCAATCGATTGCATGGGACGAAAGCGAAAGCGGTTAGCGGCAAGACGCGCTCCAACGCGACATCTGAACGCGTCCCACGCACTTTAGATCTCCGCTCCGTCACCCGCGTCTCCTCCAACTCCAACCATGACGCCTGCCAGAACCAATGAGTAGCTATTCACCAGGCATTCCATCCTCTTTTGACCCCGCGCTACTACATTCCGAATTCGAATTTCTCGACAACGCGCCCGCCCCATCCTCGCATTCTGACGAACTAGACGCATTGCACGACTGCATCGCCGAAGACACCGCAAAGAAGAATAGTGCCGGTATCGTCATACAGCATCGCGCCTGGAACGTAGCCGACATATTCAGGAGCGAAGGAGAAGGGCCAGCTGGTACTACTTGCGTGTACGCGCGCTGCAACTGGTACTAATCCCGCCAGACACGCCTGCGAAGCGCCAGAAGCAGTCTCCAGTCAAGCGCCTGCCGACTGAGCCTTCGGTTGAAACCACAACATTCCCCTCGTCGCCTCCAACTTTCGCAATGCCTCTCATCTCGTCACCCATCGCATACCCGCCGAGCTCGTCGATGCCCCAAGCGCCCTCGCCGAAGAAGAGGAAGCGCCCGGAAGATGCACGAGAGCCACTCAAGGACGTGCCAAACAACAATGCGACACGCAAGATTGGAGGTTTCCTGGACGACTCCGACGATGAAGAGGACATTGCGGCGCTGAAGGAACACACATTGAAGAGGAGGGCTGTTAGCAGCATCAAAGACCTCCCAGCTGTTCCGGAAGGCTTAGCAGATTACACACCCCCTGCGAGCCAGGACGAGTTTGCAGACCCCGAATCGATACCGGTAGACGATCTAGACAACTACAGCTTCAAGTCACAATCACAGTCGCCGGTAAAGCGGCCGCACACATCACATCAGCCAACTTCAGCACAATCCGCACCAGGCGTTTTGGCTCGTAATGCGTCGGGGAAGGCCTTTCATATAGGCAAGAAGGCCCAACGCGAGACCCAGACGTACGAAGAGATCATTGCAGCACGATCCGAACCCGTGGAAGGAAAGGCGAGAACGAGCTATTATGGTCTCAACATCCATCAGCTCATGGACGAGGCGAAGGCGCTTGATCAGGAGAAGGCCATGAATGCGTCCTTGAAGAATCTTGACCTAGCAGCACAACCATCAATCGAGCAGCCAGTGGCTAAGGGTGGAAAGACCAATCGCACACTCATGTGGACTGAAAAGTACCGAGCGAAGAAATTCACAGACTTGGTAGGAGACGAACGTACACATCGATCGGTGTTACGGTGGCTGAAGGCGTGGGACCCAATCGTCTTCCCCGGTTCTGGCAAAGCGAAGCCAAAGAAAGCAAAGGACGGGTTCCAAGAAGACGAACAGAGACATCGCAAGATTTTGCTGCTGACTGGGCCTCCTGGGCTCGGAAAGACCACCCTAGCT